TGTGGAAACCCGTAACATTGTTATAATTAACTGTAGCCGATAGTTGTAGATTGTTGAATAAACCAGTTAACAATCTCTATGGCCTATTCAGTAACGAAACATGTTACACTGGTGTCAGAAGTGGGATTAGGACTTACACACGTGACCGACGAGATTCGATCTCAAAACACCTTACACTGGTGTCAGAAGTGTTACGAACTTAAACACGCCACATACGAATTGTTGTGCATCGAATATTTTACTGCTACAAAATGGAGACGCAGCAAATGATGGAAATGCTTCTCAAGGAAATCAGAGCTAGCCAAGAAAAAACGGAGGCAAAACTGGACGCCAACATGAGGAAAGAGAAGAAAGAGAGGAGGAAAGAGAAAGAAGAAATGGAGGAAAGTAGGAGGAAAGAGAAGGAAGACTTGATGGCCAAATTAGACTCCTACCAAGAAAAGGCGTCGGCCGATAGAAAAACAGACAAGGAAGAAATGCTGGCAAGAATGGACGCCAACATGAAATCCTACCAAGAAGAGACGGAGACCAAATGGAAAACCGGCCATAAGGAGTTGCTGGCCATTATGGAGGCCAACCGAGAGGAGAGGAGAGTGGGCCAAGAAAAACTGCGAGAGAAAATCGAAACTGACAAGGAAGAAATGAAGGCAGAAATGCGATCTATGCGGTCAGAGTTGAATGAGACAATCCAACATAGAATTGAAAACATTTTTGCGATCNGTGTTACGCAGATTGAGAGCAACCATAAGGAAGAAAGAAGCCATGTCATTGAAACAGAAATCAATAACAGACTACTTTTCCTAAACATTCGTAGTTTTTGGTATTCATTCATCTTCCTTTATTTTAGTGCACAGTACTGTATAATGGTATTAGATTCAATTATTTTCGTGTTACGGCATTAGGATATTAGTGTGGTTAAAATTACAGTGTAGGTGTATTTCAGTGTATAAATCTACAATAGAACAGTTTCAACTATAATAGGCTATGTACCGTACTTCAGAAGCTTTATAATGAAGAACCATTGGCCTGCATCACAAAAGGTAAGCTTAAGTAGCGTTTTATGGTGTAAAAAATTAACGATGTTAAATTTATACCGGTATATCTGGCTTGTATATGTGTACTTCGGTTTATCCGATGTTTTTGATTATCCGCGCCAAGTCTCCCCGCCATTACCGCGGATAATCGAGAGTCTACTGTATATAGTAAATTAACAGACTGGATGACACATTTTCATTCATAAAATTAAATAAATAAACAAAAAACAAACAAACTCCGTGGTTTTAGTCCGCAAGCAAACTATACTGACCGAGTGACCGCCGCTTGTCAGCGAAGTTAGTGCCAACATTTTATAAAAATTTGAAATATATCATTTGTTTGCAATTTACAATGATTTTTAACTGAAAGCATAACATAAATTTATTAAAGTAAAAAATATTATTGTCAGCTTGCAGTGCAGAGAGAGATTTTAGCTATTTCAACTGGTGGTCATGCATGAAAGGCTGCTCATGACTGATACACTGTACAAACTGTGCTTGTGCTATATGGCGAATACATGCATAATGTGTCTTCTCACCTTTGCTATCTGAAGCATGACAATGGAGTGCTTTATGGACTCTAACATATCCTGTGAAAAGAAGATCAGAATCAGAAACAATTAAACACCATATGGATTTGAAAATAAAAAACAATTCAATTAACAACTCAGACACTAACAATTAGTATGTGGGATAATAAATAAAAAAGTACAGGCAATTTTGGGGGCACGCGGTAGCGTAGTTGGTTGAGGGGCTAAGCTACAAGCCGGAAGGTCGTGGGTTCAAGTCATTGGATTTCTTTAAATTGACCTAATCCTTGGCCACACTATGGCCCTGGGTTCGACTAGTCTCTAACAGAAATGAGTACCAGGAATTACTTAAATAATTTTCCTGGGGAGTAAAGCGCAGCCGGCGTGCAAGGCTGACAACCTTACTGCCATCTTCGAGCTGATTGTCTAGATAATGTGGGACCCTCAATGTCTCACAACCCTATGGACCTTCAGGGCCTGTTACAGGGACAGCTTTACCTTTTTTTTTTTTTTTTACAGGCAATTTTAGTTTACATCAAAAGTTGTCTAAGAACTGATAAACATGGCAGATATGAACAACATGAACCTTTGTTCAATTGTGCCTACTAAAATATACTCAATACGTTTGCTCAACTGAGAGAATGCACCAAATAAGGACAATCTGTGATCCAAATTTTCTGCTGAAATGGCAAGAAAACTAGCAAAATTTGCATAATATAACGGTTCAAAATGGCAAAAATTCTATGAACAACAGGAAACCTTACAAATTGGTGGAGAGATTTAAAATATGACAGATGACTACTTTTGTTGATGATATAAATTCTGTGTTGCAGTCAACTGTAACATATGTTGAAGTTGAGAGTAGATTGGTCAAATATCTGGGACATCAGCAATAATGAAACTGCGTCTGAAATAAGCATCAGTCATGCAAGGAAGTGTACAATAACTAAAGGTCCAAATGAAAACATTTTATTCTGACATAATTAAGAAACTTGTATATCATTTGACCAACTGCACTGAACAGCAGGACAATGAAGAAGAAAACCAAATGTTATAACAAAATTGCCTTTAATTTTTTATTTAACTTCATATATTTAGTATTAAGATTCAAGAGATTCTTGTTTTCAAATATGCTATCTTGTATACTCACATTAGCATGATTACGGACAACCTCACACCTAGCTTTCTCTGCAAGATCTGACATACCATCCATTCTGACTTCTAATGCCTGAATAAAGAGAAATATGTGATATGAATTCAGGGATACATTTATGCTATCAGAGAAACACATGGACGATCACAGCAAATACATTAATAAAATAAATGAACTTCATACATTTAACTTCAGCATCACCCTGTGGCCTAAAGGTCAGAGTTCCTGGCTAGATATCCAGAAGTCCCAGGTTCGATTCCCGGCGCTACCAGATTTTCTGAGAAGCAGTGGGTCTAGAACAAGGTCCACTCAGCCTCATGAGGATAACTGAGGAGCAATTCAAGGAAATAGCGGCTCTGGTCTAGAAAACAGGGATTAACGGCCGTGGGGATCCGTTGCGCTGACCACGCGACACCTTCTATCAGCAAAAGTTGGCACTAACTTCGCCAACAAGCGGCGGACGCTCAGTCGGTATCGTTCACTTGCGAACTGTAGGCCAAGGANTTTTCCTGCAGAGTCTCTTTCCAAAAACAGAGACACCACGTATGCGAACCAGAAGACGAGGAAGAAGACGTAAGATGCTGGAAGACCTTGAGGACAGAAGAGGATATTTTCATTTGAAGGAGAAAGCTCTAGATCTGTCGTCTGACAGATTACTGATGAATCAATGAATATATAGAGCTACTGGTGTTGCTTTTACCAACGTTTGCAATGATAATAAGTTGGTATTACAAATTAATTTGCCTGTGATATTGGGAGCAACTGGGATATAATCCGGAATTCTAGGGTCTTTGATGGAAATTATGTTACTTGTGTAACTGTGACACAGTGCAGTCGGTATAGCAACTAGTTATGAACTGGATAATCGATGAGTAGGAGTTCGAGTCCCAGTAGGGTCAAGAATTTTGTCTCTTCCACGTCATCCAGACCGGCTCTAGGGCCCACCCAACCTCCTATCCAGTGGGCACCGTCAGCTCTTTCGCTGGGGTAAAAGTTCCGGAGCGTGAGGCTGACCATTTACCTCCCACTAATGCAGAGGTCAAGAAAACGTGGATCTATACATCCACTCCCATACGTCTTAATGGCGTAGCCCTTAATCAGCTGAACACAGGGACAATTTTACCTTTCACCATTTTACGTTTAACATAACCTGGATTACTGGTGCTCTTCGTCGCTTGACTGGCACATGAAAGTTAGTACACTGCAAGATATACAGCCACAGGATTATTTTTATATATATCGTTAAATTCAAGATATGAAACGAAAAGGGTGGGACATGGCACATATTTTATATTATTTACAACTGTGGCTCCAACTAATGGTAGCTTGATGAATGAAATGTTTCACTGAACAAGTCATCCAGCAGTAACACTCCAGACCTTTATTCGGAAGGTGATTGGTTCGAATATCGGCCAAGACACCAGCTATCAGACAGGATTTTCGTGGTTTTCCTGAATCCCTCCAGGTAAATACCACGATAGTGCCCCGATTAGTCCACTAACAATTCCTTCTAAACCCCTTCAAATCCACCCATTTGCAATCACCACATTATCCGATGTCATACAGTTTCCATACTAACAGCGTCGTTAATGAAATGTTTGCTAAGTACCGAAGTGGTAGTGACGTTCAACGCTTGTACAGGCGCGCCTACCTGGATGATATACACTAATTTTTATAAACAGAGATATAATATTGAAAATTAAGCTTTAGATTTATAAACAGGAAACTGGAATACAATGTCAGACAATTAAGTTCCAGGACAGCATAAATTTTATAATAACCACATTTAAAAACGAACATATCTTTAATATTCTTCAAAATAACGTCCACAAGATATCACACTTGTGCTGCCTGATAAAATTGCTGGAAACACTTTCTGAGATTATTTGCATGTACTGCAAACAATTCTTTTGTTACGTTTTTTAATGTCCTCCGTATCTCCGTATTCTCGGCACATGTGCAGCTCTGAAGCTCATTATCGTGTTCCACGAGCCCACAATTTGTTCCTATCCTGGGCCAGATGAATCCAAACCATATCCTTACACCCTACTTATTCAAGATGGACTAAAATATCTTCTTACCAGCTCCCAAGTCTCTCGTCTTTCTTTCTGATTTCCACACTAAAACAAACATATACTTTCTTGTTTCTCCCATGGTTGCTGAGCACGTCACTCTTGTCATCTCTTTGCGCTGACTACCATAATTATACATGGTGACTCTAAATTATTGTAGGGGTTTCCCTTGTACGCCACGGAAACCAGGACAATAATTTAGACTCACCCTATACTTCACAGTGACTATAAATGACAATGAGCCAGGACAGCAACTAAGCTATGGGCTGACTGAGAAACCGGGGTTCGATTCCCGACAGCGGAAACAGATTTTTCTCTTCTCCATAATGTCCAGGCCAGCTCTGGGGCCATCCTAACCTCCTATGCAATGGGTACCAGGAGCTGTTTCCCCGGGGCGTGATGCCAAGGTTTGCATGACTGAGCATATGGATGTACAGTAGACAACAGCGCAAGCCTAACCTAGCGTCACAACCTAATATCAGCGTAACTTACCAAACTTCCCCTAACCACGGTACAGATGGACAAACTGGACCAACTTTTAAAATTTGATTTAAAAAACACATAAAAACTCTGTGGTTTTAGTCAGCAAGCAAACTATACTGACCGAGCGACCCCCACTTGCCGGCGAAGTTAGTGCCAACTTTAGCAAATAGAGGGTGCTGCGTGGTCAGCGCAACAGATCCCCACGGCTGTTATTTTCGTTTTTCTAGACCGGAGCCGCTATTTCCTTGAAATAGCTCCTCAATTATCCTCATGAGGCTGAGTGGACCCCATTTCAGACCCACTACTTCTCAGAAAATCTGGTGGTGCCGGGAATCAGACCCGGACCTCTAGATCTGTAGCCAGTAACTCTAACCACTAAACCTCAGAGACGGTCTCAGCCTCTGAGTACCAGGAATATTCTTGGTATATTCTTGGGGATAAAGGGCGACCGGCGCGTAAGGCTGACAACCTTGCCACCATCTATGAGCCGACTGTCTTGCAAATGTGGGAACCTCAACATCTCACAACCCTATGGGCCTCTGTGGGCTGTTACAGGGAAAAAACACATAAGAAATATCAGGAATAATGGGCTAAATTCCAAATTTGCCCAACATATTGTGACATGTTGACCCCTACCTCCCCAGCTGCATGTAGCGGTAACCTAACGCTCGCGTAATAGGCGAGTAATCACCCCGCATCCTGGCAGCTATGCAACGCGCAATGCGCGGTGACGTCATGACGAGAGCCGAAGTGAGCCGAGCTCATTCGACG